GAAATAAGGCTCTCAACCACAGGCGTGACAGTGAGGAATGCCACGGCTACTAGGATAATGTGGCGCCACGGCTGTGGTCGGGCTCAGATACCAGTTTTACCCACCATTCCTTTTGCTCCATCAGTTCAAGGGTCAGCACTGTGAAAAAAGCATGTTAGGGCTATTTTGAAAATGATTCTCAGGAACCCTCCAGCATTCACAGACCACATTCCGGAAACTGCTGGACCAGGTTTCTCTAAAGTCTAAACCTCAATGGTTCAACAGGAAGGATCACCTCTTGCTCATGGTACAAGTCTCACACAGGTGAGTCAGGGGCTCTACTCATCCTGTTTCTCAGGCAGCAGGGTCCCCTCAACATGCAGACTCCTGGCTCACTGCAGCAGGGGGGTGGGGGGAGCAGTATCCAAAAGTCACCTGGAAAGGACAGTTAACACTGGAGGAAAAAAAGCCAGCCACGTGGCCACTGCTACCTTCAAAGAGGGTAGAAGAGGCGATCCCACCCACGCCCAGGTGAAGACTGAGCTACGGCTTGTGAACACCCCTGATGCAGGGGAGGTGCGCTCCACCTCATTATGATATCCACATAACTGGACAGGATGGCCCTGTGCACTCCCTTCCAAGGCCTGTGTTACTGAGGGGCAAGCAAGATGGAGCAGCATCTGACAGGCCACCAGGGCCAGCTTATGAACAGCTGATCCATGCAGTCACCCCATACTAGGAACTGGATGCTTCCCCCCAAAGCCCTATGCTAATGTATTCTTCCTCATTGTGACAGCAGGGGAAGTGACATCCGTATTTAGAGGAGGGCCTCTGGGAGGTCACAAGGGTAAAGCAGCTGTCTGATGCTGATATCTGCCACAGGAGGCCAGGAAATGACATGCCGGTGAGCAGCCTAGAGGAAAGGATACAGCCCACAATCTATGGGTGCAGATCTGCTCCGATTTCTCCAGACTGACTGTTGCCAGTAGATCTAGTGCTAACAAATCTCCTGATTTTTCAAAAGAAGCCAGAGAAGAAATTTATTTGAAATTTCATATATTTTTAAACTCTACTGTGCAAATACTGCACGTTAGCTGTTCTGTCACAATGTTATCAATTAAGAATGTGAACTTTAAAACCAGGCAGCCCTGCATGAGATTCCTGCACCTGCACAAAGGAATAATCCCAGCCACACAGCATTCCTACAAAGTAGAAAGAAAGACACCCACGAGTAAAATGGTCAAAGAATATAAGGCACAATAGGGAGGGGAGCTGTAGAATCACCAGTATGATGTTTAACTTTTCCAGTAGTAAGGGGAACTTAAGGCAAGATAACATTCTATGCAAAAATAAATTCCAAAACAAAGATTTAAACATGAAAAATGGTGAAGATAAAAGACATCAACTAGTTGTTCCTAGAAAGGCAGTCCCCGTGGCCTGAGTGTATACAACGTGTTGCTCCTATCAACATAAAATGAAAACGTGAGCACCATCTCTCACGCATCAAACTGCAGGGGAGGTGCACTCCACCTCATTACCTACATCCACATAACCGGACAGGATGGCCCTATGCACTCCCTTCCAAGGCCTGTGTTACTGAGGGGGAAGCAAGATGGAGCAGCATCTGACAGGCCACCAGGGCCAGCTTATAAACAGCTGATCCATGCAGTCACCCTGTACTAGGAACTGGATGCTTCCCCCCAAAAGCCCTATGCTAATGTATTCGTCCTCAATGTGATAGCCAGGGAAGTGACATCCATATTTAGAGGAGGGCCTCTGGGAGGTCACAAGGGTGAGCAGCTGTGATGGGATTGATGGCCTTGTTGGGAGAGGAAGGGGCCAGAGCTCTCCACAACACGAGGTCCCCACCAGACACATACTACATCAGCACAGGTGGAAGCCTCAGACTTCCCAGCCTCCAGGACAAGGATGTGTTATTCAAGCCACCCTGTCCATGGTACTCTGCTGCCACAGCCTGGATCGAGACTCACAAGTCCTCTGAGCCCCCATCATGTGGTAATGAGCCCCGCCTTTGGTTCAATGCCCTCTTTATAGAGTTCAGCCACCTAATGGGAGAAAGGACGGATCACAGCAATGATTCAACACAGGCAGACAACAGATCAGCGCTTCTTATGTTTTGAGAAATTAGACCCAAAGAAATTTACAAGGCAAAAATTCTACCAAGAGTTACAAAGCCTTCAGTCATGCCTTTGTTCTCACCCCCCCAAAACCCACTTATGGTCACAGATCACAAGTAAGAAACAAAGACACTGTAATAAAAAATAATAATAAAGAAGATGGTGCCCTGAGATACTTAGGTTTATAGGGAAGAAACAGCATCTGAGACAGGACATGAAAAATCAGGAGTATGCAAGCCTGAGAAGAAAGCAAACGCCATCCCAAGTATAAAGACACTTGTTTGCTCAACCAGTATTTGGGTTCTCACCAAGTGCCTGGCAATATTCCAGGGGCTGGAAGGTCTCCGACAAGACACATGAGGTCCTTATTCTCAAAGAAATTACATTTGAAAACAGTGAGTGAGGCAAGGCAGACAAACAAGTAAATGAACAAGAAATGTTCCATTGGTGATTCCTACAAAAATAAATAAATAAATAAAGCTTATGGGCAAGGAGTACTGGGTCTCCACGTATGGCCTAAGTAACCAAGTATGAAGAGTTAGCCTGACTTGAAACGACAGAAAAGATTCAATGACACAACCCCAGAATGGAATCTGGGGTTTTATCTGCCTGTTAACAGGAGCAGACAGAATTACACATGGGAGAGTAACATGATCTGATCTTCTTAAAGATTATCACCCCTGCTGCTGCGTACAGAACAGATCCTGAGACAAGAAAGGAAGCTGAGACCTGGTGGGCTACTGCAATAGTCCAGGCAAAAGATGACAGATGCTTGACCTAGAGTGACAACTAGGAGAAATGAACAGGTTCAGGCCACATGGCAGAGGCAGAGCCAATATCCTGGATGTAGGAAATGTCAGAAAAGAAATGTCTGAGCTTGGACCACCTGGTGCATAGTAATGCCTTTCTGTGAGACTTCGAAGACTGGGGAGGAACAAACACTGGCAGAAGAGAATCCAGAGTTCTGTTTTGGCCAAGTGTGAGAAGCCTACACTACCATCAGGAAGAGCTGTCAAGTAGAATGGTGGCTGCCAGGGGCTAGAAAAAAAGAGGGACTGAGATGTTATTGTTACAGGTGTCGTTTGTTTTTTCACATGATGAAGAAAATTATGGGGATGGATGGTGGCAAAGACTACACATGACAAATACATTTATTATCTCTGAACTGTACACTTAATAGTGGCTTAAAAAGTGAAATTTATGATTATCACAAAAATTTTTGGAAAAAAAAATAAAGTAGGCCATTACACAGAAGAATCTGGGATTTTCTGGACAGGTCTAGACTGAAGTTATCAATTGGGAAATCGGCATACAGCTGGTAAACAATGGTGCTAGAGATCACCTGGGTCAGATAGAGAGGAAGCCAGAGGACTAAGTCCTGGCACACAACACTCACAAGTCCAAACCGTTCGGAGAAGAAGCAACACATGATTGGAAAGTGTCCAGAGGTACCAGAAAGCATAAGTCACAGAAGCCCAGCCGTTCACGGTCACCACACGGGATCCCGGCCAACAAGAGACTTGCAACATTTCTGTTCTCTAAAGGGGGAGGCAGGATACAATTCCCTATCTTCCCTTTTCCTGGCTTCCCTGCCCATCCACTAAAACCAGGGCAACATAGTTTGCATTTATGCACTAATTTATGAATTTGACCTTTGAGAGTGGAAAGACAGGCTCTTAACTACATCAGGACAACCGCATCACCAAAAGAATGTCCCTGGCACATCTTGGGATATGCTCACCCTTCCTTGAAACTCAAGAGTTCAAGTTGGACTTCTAAACAAACTCCGTGTAACATTTCCCACTAATGCTCGCTGCCATTGCTCTCCAGAAAGTCTCATGTGGAAGAAAAACCGAAAGGGGGAATGAAAAGAAAACTCCACTTAACCAAGTCGTGCACAGAAAGGAGTTCCGTCCAGTCACCCAGATGGCCTCAGCACGCAACACCCAGGCGCATGATTATATCGAGAGCAGGCACGCCAGCGCTGGCCTCGCACCTGACCACTGCCTGGCCCGGCCACCAACAACCCTTCGTGTCTCGGTTTCCCTGGCTGTAAAGCGGGGACGCCCACCTCTCCCTGGACCGCTGGGAATCCCGTGAGGAAAGGCACGCCCCCCCACACCCCGCCGCAGGCCTGGACTGCCAGGTGAGGAGCATCCAGGTGCCAATCAAGGGCATAAGCGCCCCGGAGGGCCCCCCGCGGTGGGTTCGAGTCCCCGCTCGGCCCCGGCCCAGC